TCACTTGACTTGAGCCAGGGTCAAACAGGCTGATGTCGTAAGAAGCTGGCTACTACCTGTCTCAACTATGGCATGGCCTATAGGCCAGTCAGTATTTGACCTGTGCCAGACAATTGGAGTGAGCAGTAATAGCTAAATAATTTAGACCCCAATGATTATGGCTTGGTCTGCTGACATTCCATTCCTGGCAGATTTTTTTACTTTGCATCATGTCCAGACCGACTTTGGAACCCTTAGTACACCTTCAACCCACAAAAATCATATAACTGCACGCTGCCCTACTTAGGTGCATATGGAAAGCAGAGTAGCCATGTTAACTGTGCAATGATAACACCAAAACTGGCCAGTTAAGGTAGAAAGTATTTCACAATCACATAAGGAGTTCATCCTTCTACCTGCTCACAAAATAAACAGTACAACCAACACAACAAACTTTAATATGAATCACTGCTGAAACTTTCTGACTCATCTGCGTAGATAAGGGATACAAGAGCAGAAACATCTATAATCTGACAGTGAATCTGTGATTAAAGTTCTTGTCAATTACCAGATCAGGTCAAAACTGGTTTGGAACTGCCAACAATCCTTTGCAAACTGGCTAACAGAGTTCAAATGATATGGATGCCAGGTCAAAGAGGTATCAAGGGTAATGAAACTGCTGATCAGTTGACAAGATTGGGGTCTGAAAATCTTTTTATAGGACCTGAACTGGCATGTGACATCTCGGCAGGAGTTGTCAAGGTTGTCAGGGCCTGGACACAGACCATGAAAAATGCTGGAAGTCCATGGTTTTCTATAAGGGCCCTCTACCAAAAGAACTAGGGAACTGTTGAAACTAAATATGAACCAACTATGATGGCTGACAGTGCTGTTTACACGACACCTTTTTAAATCAGGATTAACCAACCAATGCAGAAGGTGTCCGGGAAAAGCAGGTGATTGTGAAGATATAGCTTGCTTAAGAATTTGTCGCCTGGGACACTATGGAACCAAGTGACTACCTACACACCCCTTTAAGATACTGCATTCTGAAATATAGAATTGTTGGGGAGGCTGAACAGAGGGGGCTATACGCAGACTACTCACAGTTGTTGTGTATGGAGAGGTTAAAGCCCACCCCTTATTCATCCACGAGTATTGTGGTGTACAGACCTGTTGCTAAGTTGGGACTCTATAAACAATGACCATTTCTGGGCAACAACTCAGTAAACATGTTCCTGCGGCAATGAATACACAGGCAACAATAGAGTTACTGTTGGAAATGGCATTCTTTCTATGTGGTCTGCACCATGACCCATGCTATTCAATAGGGTGGTAAACATGCCTCTACAACAATCTAGGGACTGTGTTTCTGTGTGGTTCCTGCCAAGGAGTTATCTTGAAGACAGCTGGAATGACACAGTCAGAGCTCACCTGTGTGGAAGCGGGATCAAATACCACCACCGTGAGCCTGCAAGTCGTAGGAGACGACAAAAAGGGAAGTCTCAAATCTGAGACAGTAAAACATGGTCACAAATCCCAAGGGACTCGGACCCAAAAAAGACTGTGTTGGCAAGGGCCAGCAGCATATACAAAATACATACCCATCATCTCATCAGAGAGGGCACCCCACAAAAACAAGACTGTAACTGTCAAACAGCAATAAATATCTGGTCATCTTACTGATCGACTGACCATCAGTCGCAATGTGACTTTGACTTTGACTTTGACCCAGTTGGTTGTTAGTTGAGTTCTGCGTGGAAGGCTGTGAAGAAAAATAAACTGAAAGAGTGTGACTTTATGTGTGATATTGGAGTAATTCAGTGAGACTGTTTTAGTTCCAGTGTAAAATCCGTTGCCAGGAAACAGTGGAGAATGTAACAGACTCAGGACACTAGTCTGTGTCAATGATCTGTAAAGTGTAGTCACGAGTCATGTGTGTATACAGTAAGTGGTCAATAAATCAATCTCCAATCCAAACCTCATCTATGGTCACCCCTAAATCCTAACAGTGTATACGTACATGTCACATTTTGACATGAAATCAACTGTTGTCCTTAGTATAATTTTCATCTTAAGTTGAGCATGATGTCAGTTATAATAATTCTCTAAAGTAGGGCTGTCCAACTTCAATCTTAGCTACATATCCATGGGCCACTTTCTAAATTTTTAGTTTTATTTTTTATTCCCCCCCATACCAATTAAATATAACAGGTTGATAATGCTTAAAATCACGCCATTAAAGGTTTGTCAGACTGTATTAGTACTGCATATGATAATGGGATCATATTAATTCCATATTTTTCTATGTTACTTATTATGTGTCATGTGAAATGGACTGAAAAATTACACAAGAGTATTTAGTAAGCACTTTTCATAAAAATATATCAATGAGATCTCTTTTTAAAAGATGAAAGCAGTAACATACATTTTGGGGATTGGAAGGTTATTCCTGCAAGCTAAACAAAACCAACTGCTAGGCGACATGACATCAGTTGGGCATCCCTGCTCTAAAGTGTTCATCTGTAGCTAATTCAATATATTATAGTTACACTGGATATCACCTGCTATTTGAGGTATATGTAACAGAGTTTTGGAGTTGGCTCTGCTCCCATCTTCAGCTGACTCCTTGTCAATACACTGGGATTTGTATTTGCATTTATTTTTTGGGGGCATGCGGTAGCATAGTTGGTTGAGGCACTATGGTACAGACCAGGTCATGGATTCAATGGATTCCAATAAGGTCTTTGGATTTTTCAATTGACCTAATACTTCCAGCCGCACTATGGCCCTGGAGTCGACTCAGCCTCCAACAGAAATGAGTACCAGGAATCTTCCTGGGGGTAAAGGGCAGCCAGTGCATAGGGCTGACAACCTCACAGACATCTGTGGGCCAACTGTCTCAAAAATGTGGGAGCCTCGACATCTCACAACCCTATGGGCCTCCATGGCCTGTCATAGGGATAGCTTTACCTTTATCTTTTCATTTATTCCTTTAGATACTAGAGCCAGTGGTCTGGATAGAACAATCACCTGAAGACAGAAGTACAAATAATGCACAGAATCCTGTACATATCAAATAAGAGTAAAACCTTGCTAATCTGGGCCATATGGGAGAAAGGTTGGTCAGGACTGAGTGATAATAAAAAAATGTTAATAGCTGTAATACAGTGAGATTCACAACCTCAAACAGGTACTGTAACTGAACAAAGATTAATAGCATGATGGGGTCTGTTTCATAACAAACAATAATTCTTCAAGTTTCTCTGCTTTTTACAACTGCCGAATATGAATATGGCTTTTATAAATCCTCCTTTTTGACATGCCATGATCCACCAAAACAAGGTATGTCAAATTTTGTCTTTCAGCTGTGACAGATTTCATAGCATACATGATATATAGGATATTGGTGGGAAAGCCAGAAGGAAAGAGGCCACAGGGAAGACCAAGGCATAGGTGGGTGGACAATTTTAGAATGGACTTTGAGAGATAGGATTCTTGTGAACACGGTAATGAACCTTCAGGTTCCATAAAATGCTGGGAAATTCTTGAGTAGCTGCAGAATTGGCAGCTCCTCCAGAAGGGCTCAGCTCCATGAGTAAGTAAGTAAGTAAGTAAATCCTGTGATCAGCTGATAAAAAATATGTGCATTCTGGGTTGTTGTGCACATGTTGAGGAACATAACATGTTTTTGCAGAATAAGGTTAGGACTGACTTCACCAGAAAGACAAAATGTTGCCTCATCACATAATACCACCTTGACCGCAAGGAATTGTCCTCCTCAAGCCAATTCAGCATATGAGCCCAAAAGTTGTGCCACAGCTGTTTACCATCAGGCTTCCCCTTCTGCATCAGCTGTAACTTGTAGGATCTGAGTGTATTATTAAAGCTACAGCACGTGAACACTAAACAGTCATTTTGAGTCACTATCTCTGAGTGTGGTTCAGAAGATATTCTGTTTATATCTGATACAGTCATGTCTCTATGCCACACTCTTCAAAGAGCTGTGCGACAGAAGTACAGCTCTGATTTGTCAAGAATTTTTAACTTTATTCATAATATTCAAAGTAAATTGCTTCTGTTTCACTCTCCCTTCATTAGAAATTATTCCCACTTAGAACACTTTTTGGTCACAAAAACATAATTCTTCAGGATAACAGTGCGAGAGATCTTCACTGCTCACATGTCATCGAACAAATGAGCAATCACAACCACAAGGTACTGAAAAAAACATAGGACAGGCAATATTTCGTGATATTCAGATTAGTGAAGTTTTACTATACTTCTGAAGATAAAGTTCAGCATAACTGTGATGTATATCAAAAAAACAAGCATAAACATTTCACTGATTAATATACTATCCTGCATCAAAATAGTTCACTCACTGCTAATGATGCAAGTCTGGGAGGGTCAATGAGGTGAGAAAACTTATGAAATTGCTTTAGAAGGCTCTGAAAAGAAATGAGGATAGAGTTAATTTGTGGAGACATATGTAACAATAAAGTGAGAATTGAATGAGACATCTCCCACTGATACAGAAATCAAGAATATTTGGGGCAGAGTTTTTCTTTCAATGATGCTGTGTCATAGTCCAGTAGAACCACATTCCAGAATGCATCAAATTTTATCTTCACAATTTTATAAATACCAACAATTTTATTTTATGTAAATTTCACAAATGCACAGCATTATCTCTTCTTACATAACACCTAACATTCACCATCAATCAAAAATTAGAATGGGTTCTTCTGGGCTGTGACACCATGCAGCCTTATTAGCAGATACCTCCATCTTGAGGGTTGAAGCCAACAGGGTGAGGGATTGGCTTATTATTATATAAGCAGCTTGCAAGGAAGACAAGTCATTCAGACCCAAGAGGGGGAGGGAGGGAGGGAGAAAGATGAGCCCACTCCAGGCCACTGGGTACGGTGGGTAGGAAAATTATCCCATTAAAGGGCATACACAATTTTTCATCACAGATGGGAACTGGAATAATGAGAAAAGACAACCACTTCCAGGCATGCAATATTTCTTTAGGAGGGAAAGTGAAGCTGTGAGAAATTATGAATCTTTCGGGGACCCCTTATGTTTCCCTTGCAGAAGGGAGAGAGCTGAAATCTCCTGTTAACTTAGATATATGCTTAAACTAATACACTTAAAATAATAAAATTATGAAAATAAAACAATCCTAATCCCCACCCAAATAATAAACAATTTAAAGAAATTCCCTCATTCAAATTAGTCTAATCGCAGTGGACTTTCTGCATCAATGAAAAATCCCTAGACTGTCTTTCTTAGAACCCCATTTTTCCCCTGAAAATATACTGTGTCCCTGAAGAGGGCCATCCCTTCCCACTATTCCATTTCCCACTTGAGATGAAAACATACTGTACTCCTTTAAAAGGCCATTTCCCTATCCACTCTTCCCATTGGCCAGGATCAGCCTCCTCTCCCTGCCCCCCAGCCCATTCCCTTGGTCTCAGTGATCATCTTCCTCCCAACCAATCCTACACCCCATCCTACTCACTTCAACCATGAAGATGGAGGCAGCATGTTCCTCCAAAATGTTGGTATCTATCAGCTGGGGTGTCACAACCCAAACGATCAGTCTGAACAATCTCTGGCATGAAAAACTCAGAACTTATGAAAATATGTTAAGTTTGCTACAGAGAACCTTTATGTATTACATTTTCATTGGACAAACTGTTAATGCAAGTGTCCAGAAGCTGGAAAGAACAGTGGTAGATTCCACCTATCATATTCATACACATCAGCATTTCACGGCAGTGAAAATGGTGATGGCAACCAACTCACTAGCTGACTGGACACACAGAAATGAATTCAAAGCAAAACCTTACACACAAACTGTAATTTTTTCCTGTTACTCTCTGATAATTATCAGATTATAATTAATTAATTATAATTAACTAGGAAATGAAATGCTTAATTGTAGGTCATGTAGCGAGGGGTGGCTGAAAACTTAGCATATGACTTGATCACTTTGTTCACGGCCTCCAAGAAGTCTTTCTCTGTTGCAACCTTCCTTCGAGCTCGGATGGCAAACATGCCTGCTTCCGTGCAGACAGATCGGATTTCAGCCCCTGGGGAGAACAGATCAAAATACACAATCCATAAAACAATGCAAATAAACACATTTCAAAGGTGGAATGCTCATGTAAAATTCAATGGAAAAACTTAACAAATCCCATCATTAGCTACAGTTTCTACACATAGCCCCTTCATGGATCCACCTTCATACATTACAGACACTGAAGGACACTTCATGATCACAATTTCAATGATCATGGATGTTACAAACTTAAAAAGTTCTGGGAAGACAGCTACTAGGCCAACATCATAATAACAACTGAAAACTGTTGTCTATTGCTACCACTTATCTGTACTGGGATTAGTTTGCTTCTGTTTTCCATGGAAATGACGAACATAACAAACAACAAACACTGCCCTCAGTAGAATAATTACATAGACAGTCCAATAATGTACATAAACTTACCCTTGCCAGTCATCTTCCTACTGATTCTCCATATTTATCTATCACCACACCACTAATCAGAAACTGTCTGGATTTCTTACTTTTGATCTGATATCTGGTTGGGCTTGGAGAATGAAAGTTCCACTTCCAGTGCAGTAATAATAATGTGTCTGAGATAATATTAGTGTTTCATGTGGCAGTAAAACAACCCATAATGAAGCTTTGGTAATGACTAAACAAAACAGGCTGATCTAAAGATAATGGCTCTAGACCTGAATTTTGGAGGTGATCGGTTTGTATCTTGCCTGGGACACCAGCTATCCTGACTGAGGTTTTTCATGGTTTTCCACAGTCCACCATGTCAGAATGGTACCATGCCATGGCCACCTCCTTCCACACCCCTTCCAATTGATTTATCATCCTACCATCCAACACAATATAGTCCTTATGCTGAAAAAAACCTATCCCTGTAACAGGCCATGGAGAAAGTGTTGTTAAACATTCTACAAAAGAAAACCTACTACAAGAAGAAGATGACAATAACGAGAAGGAGACAGGGTAATTAAATTTCAGTGCATATTTATTTGTCATTTATTTAATGAGGAGTGGAGAGGATGTAGAAGACACCAGTCAGGGCCTAATTTGAAGTACTATCCTGGCACTTGCTGGTAAGGTAAGGTCAAAAACAAGACCAGAGATATTGGAAATAAAGGAAAAATTGCTTCCAACTTTGATAGACAATCAAAAAAGATAGAAACAAGGATATTCATGTGAAGATCTGGCAACAATGAAAGAAAGGTGAGAAATATTTATAATTCTATCTAGAATGATTATCCTTCCAAAGAAGTTAAGGAGTTTAATGCCAGCAGTGACTAGGTTCATTGATTCAAACAATAACACATTTTCCACAACTTAAAACTTAGTGGAGAAGGAAGCGGTCTCTGTAGTCTAGAGGTAACATTCCCACCTCATGACTCGTGGTACGCGGGTTCAAATACCCGGCGGAGGTCGTCAAATTTTTAAGGGCAGAAAATTTCAGGGAACAAGTCCTCCGGAAGGGACTTTAAGCTGTGTGTCCGGTGTCGTAACTTTACGGCATGTAAAAGAACCTCGTAACCCCAAAGGGGATCACTGAACCAAATTCCAGGACGTTTCCCGCCCAACAACAGTCTCTAAGGCCTCTGATAGGTGGGGGAAGCATTATAGACACCGCTAAGCAAGTGGCCGAACTCGCTTGCTCGGCAGGACTGATGGTACGCACCATTTATCGGTAGGGTAAAGAGACTGGCAGAATATCATAGAGGGAAGCACAATAGATCAAACTGGTCACGGTGCATGGGGAAACCCACCCTCTCTAAATAACTAACTAATAACTAACTAGTGGAGAAGGATGCAGTGTTGATGGGTCTGCACAATCTAAATTTCCTGAAGTAAGTAAAAGTAAAGTAAAGCTATCCCTGTACCAGGCCATGAAGGCCCATAGGGTTGTGAGACGCTGATGGTCCCACATTATCTAGACAGTGTGCTCAAAGATGGCAGTAAGAGAGGCTGAGTGAACCCCAGGGCCATAGTGCGGCTGGAAGGATTAGGTCAATTGAAAAAATCCAATGACCTCATCGGGACTTGAACCCGCGACCTTCTAGCTTGTAGCATAGCCCCAGTCAAAGAAATTGTTGAAGAAGGGAGTACTCACTATAACAAATATTATCAACTTTAGTTAGATGGATGTGTTTGAGAAAAGAATGCCAAGCTGAACTAACACATAAAAAGAAGCCAGTGCTCCCAGATTCAAAGCCACCAAGGACAGAACCACTGCCTTGCTGGTAGAAATGTAACGGTGATTATGTATTTAAACCATGTGTAGTCTATCATTCACAAAGCCCTAGGACCTTTGAGAGATATGAAAGTCTCATTTACTTCAAGTTTGGTGTTCCAGCAAAATGGGACGGATACCTAGTGACACAATATTGAAATACTGTGACGGAATATGACCATTTGCTAGGCAAGCAAGCAACAAAGGACATGATAAGATTAGAAGAGTATTGCAAAATGCTAAAAAACTGTGTAGGGCCATTCAGAACTAAAGGTGTGGAATAATGACACACAGTGCAGTGCTCCTCCATGACAATTCACGTCCGCATGCAGCTGGGAGCTGTTTGACCACCCTCCTTACAGCACTGATCTCGCTCTGAGTGACTATCACCTGTTTACCTGCCTGAAGAACTGGTTAGGATCACAGTATTTCAGCAATAGTGACGAGTTGACGGAAGGTGTCAAAACGTGGGTGAGCTCACAGGTGGCAGATTTCTTTGACAAAGGCATACAAAAACTTACTCCCCGCTACAAGTGCCTCAGTTCCAGTGGTGACTATATTGAGAAGTAGCTTATGTACATACATATTTTTTGTGTATAATATTTTTTTTTCACATTTTTTGTTTTGTTAACAGCTCACTGGAGATCACTTTCTGAATAGCCCTCATATTTAAACATAGTTTACGTTTGCACAATGACTCACGTGCGTTACATGTTAAATAACAGGATGTATCCCATGAAGATTGACATCACAATTACAGCAGTGTTTGGCACACTTATAGACGGTCCTAACATGTCATTGAGGAAGCTGTCCCACAAGAGAGGAGTGAGTAGGACTTAAGTCCAATGGATGGTGCACTGTCTGACTTCGCAAACAATGTGCATGACTTCCTGAGTGTTATGATTCTGAACCAGTGGTTCAGGTGTCATGGTCCTGTGGAATGGCCACCTCCCCTGGAGCCACCTGAAGCCTGTCATTTACACAGACTGGCCAAACAATTTTTAGGAAATGCAGAAGATATGGTATGTGTGTGTGTGATAAGATCACTGCGGACATATGGCAGCAGATGCATACAGCCATCACATTCTGTGTCAGCAAGTAGCTCAGAGCTGGTGGCCAACAATTTGAATACTTGCTTAAATTAAAATGATTAGACCGTGAAACCTTTGGGGTACAACTTTGGGGCCACCTTGTACTCTATGGAGTGCATCCTTTCCAATTTTTTTTCCTTTAATTCGGTACTAACCAATATAAGTTTTAATATGATGGCACTTCTACAGGTTAATGACTTTCCAGAAATTACATGGGAAATGTAGGCACAGTCTGCTTGTCTCCAGTACCTCATTTAAAGGTTTAACCCACAGCTCAATGATGGCCACCCTGTTACTCCCAGCATTCACTATGTTTAGACTCTGTCAGGAACCATGATTCATGGTTCTGTTAGGCTCATTACCTGTGCTGTTCGGGCAAAGCCTGGCCAGTAACTCAAAGCGAATGTCCCGCTCCACACTCATGGAGCGAGCATGGATTTTGAAGATGTGTGTTCGACCTTCGAGATCTGGAAGCCCAAACTCCACCTTCCTGTCCAGTCGTCCAGGCCTCATGAGGGCAGGATCCAGTGTATCTGGACGGTTTGTGGCCATGAGCACCTGTTACAAAGATAATGCAATCACAAGACTCAAACATTAGTGGAGAGGCCCTTTGATGCCACTAACCTTTGCAGTAACAGCTTCCTATGGTTACAACTGAATGACTGATAAGTCATGTAGTAGTTTATCACTACTACATGACTTATCAGTCAGTCATTCAGTTGTAACCATAGGAAGCAGTTATTGCAAAGTCATGTAGTAGTGATAAACTAGAACATTTTTTCTTTTTGTATCTTACTAATTCCCAGAAATTTGGTTAAGTGGGTATCATGACAGCCAAGTTTCTCTGTACACAATATACAAAATTTGCTGTCATATCTAGCTCTGTTATGATTAAAGGATAATTGATTAATTTATAACCCTATTCATACACAAAATCATAAATTATATGAAATGGAAGTTGAAATACGTAAAATTGGTGTTATTAATAAATCCATGATTTATTCCAGCCGTCTTACAGTGCATACACTCATCCACTTCACTCTTCACTCCTGCACTACATGTTTCGGCACAAAGGTGCCATCTTCAGGTGCTTCTCGATTTACGTTAAACTACTTCACTGCATGCCTTGCTGTTTTCATACTAAAATAACTAAAATATATGTTCATCATATATATTGATAAATATTAAATATTAAAAATATTAAAACTGTTCAGGATTTTTTATCCCTACGTCGCATCTCAATACGCGAGTCACANAATATTTAATATTTATCAATATATATGATGAACATATATTTTAGTTATTTTAGTATGAAAACAGCAAGGCATGCAGTGAAGTAGTTTAACGTAAATCGAGAAGCACCTGAAGATGGCACCTTTGTGCCGAAACATGTAGTGCAGGAGTGAAGAGTGAAGTGGATGAGTGTATGCACTGTAAGACGGCTGGAATAAATCATGGACATAAATCAGTGCAACAGGACGCTAAAATATAACATTATTAATAAATCTTTATTACTGTAATGTTAACCTTATTTTGGAACAATTATTTTCAATTTCTCACTTACAATCTTGATGTCAGGTTTGTTTCAGTTCACTATTATTTTACTGAATGCCACTTCACTGTTCTTTTCTTCCATTCAATAACTTGGTGTGACAGTAACATGACTGCATCACACATGAATGCTGGATGCTGCTCCAAAGTTCACAGTCACTCAACTTGAATAACTAAGTCCATGCACTTCTGTTCAGGTGAAATCATTCTTCAACATTCTCACAGCATCTCAGTGAACCTCAGTAACCTTAGCTTTTAGAACCATCCAGAAAGGGGAGGGGAAGCTTTTGGTGTTTCTCGAGCTATGCTGCGCACCATGCATCACCTGTCTCTCACTCATACAATCATGTTTCCTCCTCAAGGCTGTATGTCCCAAGTAGGCCCTCAATATGGGGCCAGTCTGTATGGGTGGACCACCATCATTTTCTGACCCAGGTCAGGCAGCATGAGACCTGGTCTCTTTCCTGCGATCCAGCAGAGTTGGCTATGCATCTGCAACTGGCCACCTTCAGAAACTGATGGATGTTATGCAGCCATTCCATGAGGTCTGCTATGAATCTGGTCACAGCCTGCTCCTTATCTGGGGCAGCGCCAAACAGCAGACTGCATAGCTCTCTCCTGAGCACCATGCTGGCAGGTGTCGTGCTTATAGTCTCGTCAATGGACGCTTTGAAGACCAGCTACAAGATGGTATACCCTCTTTTCCAAATCTCTCTGGAACACTGAATTGACCTTCCTCAGGCATTTCTCTATAGTCTTTACATGGCATTACACCCAGCTGTCCAAACGGACGTGGAGAGGTGGCACACATCCTGCACACTCCAAGGCACTGACACATCCTGCAGGAGTCATGACTCAAAGTTCTGGCCTCAATCACTGTGCAGTTGGTCACCAGAATATCAGCCACCACTGATGTCTCTTGATTAGGGATGGTGTACAGCTGTGGCCATTTAGTGAAGTAGTCCATAGCAATCAGGGGGTTATTAATTTCCCCTCTGGCTCTCTGGGATGGATCCTGCAATTTCCACAGTGATCCTCTTGAATGGTGCACCAATATTGTACTGGTCCATCACTCCCCACCTCTGGGTTTGAGGGCCTTTGCTTGCTGCACAGATGTTGCAGTTGGCACCAGCTCCCCAAGCTGTTCCTCATGTGCAGCCATTAGTGCCATTGTGTGACCATGTCTGTGGCTTTGTTGACACACACGTCTTCCTGAAGATCCCCCATGGAGCTCTCCCATCATTTCTTTCACCTTCCTCTGGGTAGGAGTGTTTGGCCTTCTCTGGACCTTCTATCAGCTGACTCCCAGTGATGCTGCTGAACACCATCTCTCACCATCAGACAGTTCCACTGAGCCCAGTAACCCTTGTGGGTGGAAATGTGATCAGAAATAGCTTTCCACTCAGGACACTGTCCAGGCTCCACTTCCCAAAAAATTTGTCCTACATCACTGTCACCCAGTTGCTCCTTCCTTAGGGAAGCACAGTCTCAGCCATCTGCATCAGTAGCAGCAATATTTTATACTCCCAGGCTGCCTGCCTGTCATTCAGCTGACAGTGGTCTGGCAGTGAGCATATGCCTCCAGGAAGATTCTCTTACAGACTGCATCCACTCGTGTGATTCTGACTTTGGTGATGTTTGAACGTAAATTTTTACTATCAGCAACACTGGACCTAGCAGGTCATCTGTCCTTCCAGGTTCTTGTAACTGAGAAGGCAGGTCAAGATAAGAGTGGCCAATATGCAATTGGAATTCTTGTCCATAAAGGTGTTTGTGGAAATGTTCCATCTTCACAATTGCCAGTAATTCCTGTCAGGTCACACAGTAGTTCCTCTCAGCATTTGATAAGGTCCTGTATGAAGCTAATACTATGCACTCCTAGCTCTTGTGCACTTGTGACAGCATGTTTTTCAATCCTCACACTTCTCACATCCATGCTGACAAACTTCTCACCCAGCGTGGGCTATCCTAGGATGGTTGCCATACACAGTGACTTCTTTAGCCCTTTCCAGTCAAATTTAAATACCAGTACAGCTCTCTGCTAATCCATTGAAATGATACTGGGCTATGTGATTTCAACTGCTATTATGAACTTCGCTAAATTTCAGTAATTTAAAAAAATAACAGCATGCCAAGTGCACCACAGAAACAAAACAGGCAAAAAATATGGTGACCCAGTGCACCAGTGGATAGGAAAGGGTCAGGGGCAGGAAGGCAGCTTCTCTCCCTGGTAACCACTGAAACGTTCATGTTTCTTCCATCATTCTATAATTTAGTTTCTTTCATGAGTTTGGTCAGTGGTTTGACAAACCAGCTATAAACCTCTGGCACTGGTGAAATTTATAATCCAAGCATAAAATTACACTTAGTTCTTGGGCAACCCTGTCGGACTTCGTCAAAGATGATCATAAGATCAAAACTTTTTTAAGTAAATTTTTACTCTTTGCAATTGTAAAATAAGTTACAGACAATCATCTCTGTTGTTGTTGTTGTTGTCATCTTCACCATCAAATGCAGCAACAATGTTTATGTCTAAATAATACAGGTCTACAAAGCAACACTTAAATAAATTTGACATATGAGTTCACAATATCTATGCTACACAGTACTATTTCTTAATATTGCATACAAACTTCTGCGTTTAAATAATAACTAAGTTTGTTTCCTTATAAATACACTTGATCTCCATTTTGTTCTTGGTGTTCCTCTGCAAAATGTGAAGAACTGTACTTACCAGTCTATTTCAGGCTACACAAGGCCTGCAAATTCTACTGTGATTTATTTAATGAAGTAACCAGTATCTAGATACACAGTGTCAAGAAGCCTGTGTAGGTTTGTTAGAAACACACCTTTATGTTCCCACGAGGGTCAAATCCATCCAGCTGATTAATGAGTTCCAGCATGGTTCTCTGCACTTCATTATCCCCACCAGCACCATCATCAAATCGTGCCCCTCCAATAGCATCTATTTCATCAAAGAATATTAAACATGCCTTCTTACTGCGAGCCATTTCAAACAGCTCACGCACCATTCTTGCACCCTGAAAACAAAAATTATATCACTGGTATATCAGAAGTCACTCCTAAAACTAAATCTGGCTAATCTCTGATATGGTCTCAAAGAATACTGCCACCAGCATGAGATTTATGTGCATACAATGATCAGGTCCTTGGCTGACAGACAAAATATTTTGTATTATGTTACCACAAGATACTGTGTACACCATCTTACAATTTGTGATCAGCAGTAATATTCACATTTGTAACATCACACTAATGGATACTAACTTATCCATGTACAATAAATTCTCAGTAATCATAAGTGAAGTCAGTGTTTTTATATTAAGAGATCACTTACTTGGAAGGTTTGTCAGATCTACAAACCTGAGATTCACTTGGACTAGGTGACTGAAAACTCTATTTAATCACTCACTACTAAACAAGCATTGACCCAAGATGGCGGATAGTAAGATGGGCTGTACTAACAGTGCTGCAGTTTTAGTTGACAATAGTGGGGAACTGAGTAAAATATTGTGTATCTGTTGTGTGGAATTGGAGTTGGAGTTGGAAAGGACTAGAATCGAGCTGAGAGCAACTCAACAGAGCAACAAGGCGGCTACCAAAGGGTGTAAGGGAAGTTACTCTGACTTAAATTTCAAACCGAAAGTGTTAAATTGGAAACAAACTGTCAATATTGCGCTAACTTAAATAGAGAATTGCAAAAAGCAAAAGAAGAAATTTTAACTTATAAAAAAATAACAGAAATGCTTCAAGCTGAATTAGGTGAAAACTCGTTACTAAATAATCCGAGTGAGCTAGAACAAAACAATTATTATGAACAGGATAAAGCATCATTAATGGAAGAATACTGGGAGTTACTTGCAGGAAAAAAGAAAAGGAATTTGTTTGGACTAAAGAGAAATCTAATACAAATAATACCAATTAATGTGAATAAAGTTGACTTAGTATATAACCTCAAAGATGATGAAGAATGGACTAATATGGGAATGAACGAATTAGGAGAAACAAATGTGATGGAAATCCAACAAGATAACCAGTCTGTCATAACTGCAAACTGCTTTGAAGTGCTGTCGAATCTCAAAGAGCCTGAATTCAAAAAGGTAACTCTTCAACAAACAAGTGGGAAGGTTAGAAGAAAAAAAGGATAATCTTCAAAATCCAAGCAACAAGATTTTACTTCTTGGTGACAGTCATGTAAGGGAAATGGCGGCTAAACTACGACATAACCTAGATGTGGAATACAGTGTTCAAGGACTAGTGAACCCTGGTGCAGATCTAGCAATAATTTTAACTTCAGGTGTGAATGATATTCAGGACTTCTATAAAAAGGACTTGGTGATTGTGTGGGGTGGTACTAAGGATGTCAGTAGAAATGAGACTGATAAGGGACTGATCCAAATTAGGAACTTTGTAAACAAGAACACTCACACAAACATTTTAGTTATGAACGTACCACACAGACATGACTTGGAGCAAAAATCATGAGTAAATGATGAGGTGAAAAGGTTTAACAGAAAGTTAAAAAAAATTATGAAGGTTTTCAGAACTTCACGTGTTATAGAGATAGAATCCGAAAGAGACTCGTTTACTAAACATGGGGTACATATGAATTCAAGAGGTAAGGAGCAGATAGTAAAAAGAATAGTAAAAGAAATTTTGGATATATCAAGGGAGAAAAAGTCTGACCCAATTATAATGAAAGGGAAGGATGAAGAAGAGCTAGAAGAGGAAGGGACTCATATTCTGCCAACAAATGGACCCTTGAAGACAGGTGGGAGAAGAATTGGTGAACCCAGGAACATTTGCTTGCTCTGGAAGGAATCTGAAAATTATAATGAAAATCTACAAGCTAACAATTGTCCAGCTATCAATGACTCAGTAAAAACAACTACAGAGCAAAAAAATGAACTAGTACACAAATCAAATAGACTCCAAAAACTACCAGGTATGAAAAATAAGGATTTTTTATGGTAAATAAAGGTGCTCCAAAAAGAAATATTTCCTTAAATGGAGTAACCAAAAAAGAAAACGATATCAAATTCTTAAATATTTTCCATCAGAACATTAGAGGATTAAGGGGGAAAGCAAATGAGCTATTAAGTCATCTACATCCAGCCTCCCCACACATATTATGTTTTACAGAACATCACATGAATTTCTTAGAATTACAGCAGTTAAACATAGATTCTTATAAACTGGGAGCAAACTATTGTAGAACCTTGTATGAAAAAGGAGGAGTATGCATCTATCTATCCACAAGCTTGAAATTTGTAAATATAGACCTAAAAAATTACTGTAAAGAAAAAGATTTTGAGGTATGTGCTGTTAAGTTAAACCTGAGCTAAAACAGACTGTGTATAATTACAATATTTAGATCTCCGACTGAAAACATTTGATACATCCATAATAAAACTAGATACAGTACTTAGAAACCTATTTACCTCAACACAAGAATATATTATTTGTGGGGATATTAATATAAATTACCTTCTTGATAGTGAAAAGAAAAACACATTAGATACCTTACTGAAAACTTATAATTTAATAAGTACAATAAATTTTCCCACCAGAGTTCAAGGAAATTCTGCTACAGCCACTGATAATATTTTCATCGATATTGCTAGAAGGGAAAATTATTCTGTAAGGCCTATAATAAATGGATTGTCTGATCATGATGCACAATCCATAACATTTAAAACAATAAACATGAGAACACACATGCTAAACCATTTAAAATAATAAGGAAAATAAACAAACACACAATAAATGATTTTTTAATTAAACTGAGTTATGAAACATGGGACTCAACATTTTCTAGTGATGATGTTAATATAATGTTTAACTCCTTTTTAGACACTTACTTGAAAAT